GTCTGTCTGCCTGCCTCTGCCTGAGATAACAAAACAGCCGACCAAATATGCGCTCCATAAACATAATAAACCTCCCATCCGTCTTCAAGTATGTTCGGAAAGCGGGTATATGTACAATTCTCTGCATCATTGGCGTCATCACTCCTCCTCTGTCCACTCGTCATCCTTTACAACTTACCCTTGTACCCCTTGGGCGCAAGGAAGACGTTGTACTCGAGCTCGAGCGTGGCCGTCTTGTCACCCTCGAGGGGCTTGAAGTCGACAACCAAATCGGGCTTGACAGCGAAGACGGTGTCGGTGGTGAGCCAAGGGTCGTCGTTTGGGTACAGCTGGGTAGTGCAACCCTGGAACTCGGGGTGCGTGACCATGATATGAATATGGGCGGGGCGCATCGGGTGACGGTCCATGAGGGTGAGGAGGTCCCACGAAGGCCCATCCTGGGGAAGGCTGTAGGCGGTCGGGTGCAGGCAGTAAAACCAGTACTTGCCCTCGTTGTCGGCACGGAACTTTCCGCGGAGGTTGTTAGGCGTTTGGTTGCCAGGGTCCTGGAAGTCGTACTTGCCGTTGGCCGACGCCTGCCAGATGTCAAAGACGGCATTGGGGATAGGCTTGCCAGTCGTCATGTCGGTGATCACACCCCACATCTTGGTCACGCGGCCCTTGGGCGGCACGCCGTCCTGAATAATGGAGCCTCCGAGCTCCCGGAAGGGGGCATTGGGCGACCAGAAGGGACCCAGAATGGAGGATGATGTGGGGTCCATCTCACCCTCCGAGACGATCTTGTGGGCGATCTCGTCAACGAGGCTGTAAGATGGTGTTAGCAAGGCTGCCTCTGACTTCCCCGGGAAATGAGGGGGCAGTAGTATCCGCAAGGTAAACTTACGACTCGAGACCGAGGACATCAGAAATACGATGGGCCTCGTTACGGGTCTTGTTACTATCACCGTAGATCTGGCCAACGGCGTTGATGAAGTGAACACCGGTCATCCATTCGTCGATGGTGAGCTCAACCTCGCGTGAGAAGTCGTGGATGTGGCGGATGAGGGCACCGAGGACTTGACGGTTCCGGGGGGTGGTCTTGGGGCCCATGTTGTCGATGACAGCCTGAGTGAAGTCTGGGTCGAAGCGGTGGGCCGGCTTCTGGGCACCATTGGCGCCATTGGTGCCGTTGGTGCCGTTGGTACCGTTGGTACCGTTGGTAGCCATTGTGATACCGACAGTGTTGTTTGGGGGTGTGTTGTGTTGATGGGATGGGGGCTTGAACAAGGCAAGGCCGATAGACTTTGTTGCAGGAGGCAATGCGATGTAATAGGAGCAGTCTGGGGAAGGAACAAGAGTATAAACCGAACGAGAGGCTCCCACGGGTTAAATAGAAGAGACTGCCCTTACCTTGACACATCAACACGGATTGCGAATTGAAAGGCCTTGATAGGACACCCACCACCGGGTGGTGTCATTTTCCCCGCCGTGATCAATCGGACGGACGTCGCGGCAGCTTGTTCATCCCCAACTCTGCTACCGCGGGAGTGGGGACAAAGGAGGAGGCAACGCGGGAGAAATTTAGCCCTGCCTCGCGATGCGAAAAGCGCCAGAGAGCGCCAGAGGGCTTGCAAGCTCTAGCCGTACCGAAGCCGATGTTCCAGGCTGCATGATGCGGGCTTAGCAGCCAGCCTGGCCACCCATCGTTGTCAACTTTGGTCGCCTTGGCGATTGAGGCTCCCGAATCGTGGGACGATGAAGTGGACTCGATCGATTGATTCCTCTTGATCCCCCAGTTTCCTCTGGGGGTTCCCCTTCGTCGCCGTGACGCCGTGATGGAGCCTCTGCGCTTCCGGCGAGCCCCGAACCTGCGAGGAGCCTGCTAGGAGCCAAGCGGCTAGGGTGGTGTCCTTGGGGAATGCTTGGGGGCAACCCTGGGGATCCCTTCGACGGGGTGAGCCTTTACCCGGTTGAGACGCAGTGCAGAGCCGACAGCCAGCCTAGGCCGCAGGTGTGGGAACAAGGTTTTGCGACAAACGCTGCAATGTCGCTGCAATGGGTGCCACACAGGCACCAGAAGTTCCGGCTGCAACGCTGGAGCAACCCCCCATCTACCGCTACTGCTTCCGACCCCATCCCCACACCGCAAATACCGAAAAAGTTGGGGGATCGGAGGGGCAACCATTGAGGCGCGATACGATGCGACGCCCCCGGAGTCGCTCGCCGTCAGCGAAACCGCGGCAGACCGCGAGTAGAGAATGCTCTGCCCTCTGCCGCGCTGTCGTCTAAACCCTCCAGATTAGCAACAATCAGTAGCCGGACATCGTATGATTTCCGTCGTATCACATCTCGCTCGTCGCCGTCGTTCTCGCCGCGGTTCATTCGCGTTCAGTACTCCGGTCCCTTGCATCGCCCATCGACGTCATTCCAGCATGCCCCTCCACCACTTGATGATCGGGACCTGGACCCCGCCAGGCGCCATCTTCGCTGTGCAGTTCGACGACGAGAGCCTGACGCTGAAGCTCGTTAAGAGAACCCCGATCCCGGAGAATGAGCCGATATCATGGATGGCCTTCGACGTATGGCACCGATTGACCAACATGGCCACTGATGCGTGACGAATCGCTGCTCACAGTGAAGACAGCACACAAAAAAGAACCTCTACGGTTCGGCCATGAAGAAATGGTCCAGTTTCGCCGTCAAAAGCCCTACCGAGATTGTCCACGAGGCATCTCACCCCATTGGCGGGGATCGTAAGTTGTCGCGTGCCCACGCAAACCGTCGTCCCAGACATGTCGCTGACCACACCCGCCAACCGCAGCCCAGGCAAACAGTGCCGAGACAAATACCCGCGCCATTTTCCTGCTACCGGCGAAGCAGCCGCCGTTTGCCGTCTATGCCAACCCCTTTTACAAGTACGCCGGCTACGGCAACGTATTTTCCGTGACAGGCTCCGGCGCGCTTGACAAGAACATCCAGAACTATCCGTACCAGCCCAACACTGGCATCCACGGCATGGTCTTCGACCCGACCGAGACGTACCTCTACTCGGCGGACCTGACGGCCAACAAGTTGTGGGTGCACCACAAGGTAGCTTCAGGCTGGGGCGAGGTTGAGCTTGTCGGCAGCGTAGATGCCCCAGCGGCCGGCGACCACCCCCGGTGGGTGGCCATGCACCCGACTGGCAACTACCTGTATGCCCTGATGGAAGCGGGCAACCGCATTTGCGAGTATGTCATTGACCCGGCCACCCACTTGCCCGTCTACACGCACCACAGCTTCCCGCTGATTCCGCCGGGAATCCCGGATCGGGACGCGGCGACGGGCAAGGGGCTCTACCGCTCTGACGTGTGCGCGCTCACCATGAGCGGCAAGTACCTGTTTGCGTCGTCGCGCGCAAACAGCTTCGACTTGACCGGCTATGTGGCTGCGTTCCGGCTGCGTGACTGCGGTAGCATCGAGGCGCAGTTGTGTCTCAACCCGACGCCCACGAGTGGCGGCCACAGCAACGCTGTCGCGCCGTGTGACTGGAGTGACGAGTGGGTTGCCCTCACCGATGATCAGGAGGGTTGGGTTGAGATGTATCGCTGGAAGGACGAGTTCCTGCACCGTGTTGCGCGCGTGCAGATTCCTGAGCCCGGGTTCGGGATGAATGCCATTTGGTACGACTGAGAGTTGTCACACACTGTGTGGTGTTTGAGTTCTGACGTTGAAGTCTTGAAGACTGCAATGCAGTCTAGCAACGCAAGTAAGATGGCTTTGCAAAGCTTTTAGAGATCAAATGTGTAGATAATTGAACAAAGTATGAGCATGTCGAAAGAACAGGAGAGTCGGGCAGATTTCAATTCATGATCATGAACTTGGGCTCCCAGGGGAAAAAAGAGGGCCCAACACAACCCAAAGGCCAGGCAGGTCGGAGAGCACCACGGACCCCAATTCAGTTGCTGACAAGTCGGCAGCTCCCAGCCCTCGCAGGGAGATACCAATTCCTCTTCCATTATATATAATTTTTATGAAAAAAAAATTCGGTTTACCATGCTCTTTCCAGAATCGCATTTTACAGGGAAAATAGCCAGTTTCGACCATTCGACTGCAGCCCTGCTCACGAATTGCAAGTTGTCGCCGGGAAACTGTGGGGCTACAAATACGCCATTTTGCTGGCCCTTGCACATCTCCAAAAGAACCTTGTGTTTAGCTGCGCTAGTATAGTGGTCAGTACTTCTCGTTGTGGTTCCGACATACAGCGATCCGAGAGGACCCATGTTCGATTCATGGGCGCAGCACACCCTTTTTGCCTGCTTCTCCATGTCTCTTCTGCCTTGGACTGCAGCTCTCTTTTGCTACGCTTCATAGCCACAGTTTCTCAGCAGCCTCTAGTCAAACAACGTAGACAAAGCCCTTTCCGGAGCCGGAAACACTCGAAATGCAGTGGGTGGGTTATGACTACACTTGCCTAGTCTCACACTCTCTAAACAACTTGGTAGCTAGAAGATGTAAGATGCATCGGAACCTAGATTGTCTTTACTTCCTTCAATCGGCAATTTTCTCTCCCACATCTGCAGTCTGTGGTTTTCCAGCAACTTCCTCGATATGGACTTTTGACCGCTGTTGTGTGTGCTGAAGAACAAAGACCCTGCAGCGGCGGTGAACTGCCAGTGTAGGTCCCAGATCACGCAGCTCTCAGGGAAATCACCGCCGAGTCCGGCACTTCAACCGCTGAGAGCCCTTATCCGTAAGGAAATTTGTGTTGAAATGTATACCTACTTGCCATGTAGCTTGAACAAGGTATTCTAAAAACATGGTCGGATGACATGCCGGAAGACTGGGAGAAATAGAAACTCTATGTCAAGGTGAAACGGGTGTTGCGAGACTGATACTCGACGACGGCCCACTCAAACACTATATGCCCCTATCTCGCTTAGCAAGGATGGGCGAGGGAAGAGTCAGGTTACCAGCCTGAACCTTGGCCATCGCGATGCATGGCGTGGATCCCGAGGCGGAATCTTCATCAAAAGCAACCTGGTCGCATGGTGTAGTTGGTTATCACGTCAGCTTAACAACATTCATATTCGAGCCCTTAGGTATCGATGTTAACAAGTTCCGCTGAAGGTCCTCAGTTCAATCCTGAGTGCGATCACAAATATATATCCCAAATATCTTCCCTCATCTTTTTTGATGCTCTAACATTTTCCAACACTTTCTCCTTTATTTTTTGCGGGGGGGGGGGGGGGGGGGGGGCATGAGAGGGGTTTACACACTGTCCACGCATCACCACTGTTACGAGTCTCCTTGTTGGCGAGGGAACTATGAGGGCGGGAAAGTAGGATGAGGTTCTCAAGATATCGCAGGTGATATGGTGGTTCAATGGGAAAGAACTCTGCAAAAGGCATCCCTTTTGGTGACTCGCTCACACTCGGGAAATTCCACTTGAAGCTGAGCCTTGCAGTCTCCCGGAGGAAGATGACTGTGACCAAGAAAAATTGTGCCTGGAGCTTTGACAATTTCTCACGTTCCTGTCTTGCAACCCACTTCTGTGAAGCCAAAAATTTTGAAGCGGCCATGTGGGTCTTTGATGTGAGGTTGTCCCAGGCAAAAACTAGTCTAGGTCAGGAACAAGAAGCACGGTGGAGCACGCCAGCAGAATTTTGCACCACCAGCAAAAATTCGCAGCCGCGCACGGACCAACGATCTCCAGTATATAATCTTCGCCGCGCCCTGCCCTTTCCTCTTCTTTTTTTTTTTTTCTCATGTCGACAATACTTCAGTAAGCCACCTCCTACTATCAGGCTCAACAACTTCACCAGCACAGTCATGCTAACCACGCCTAACCAATAGGAGAATCATTTCTATAGTAGTCGTCCTCTTTTGTGTTCCCTAAAGGAGCCACAAATCCCACCCGGGTTGATGATTCATATCCTCGACACCCTACAGTGAGGACCTTTTTGCTCTCGCTCTGCCTGCAAAGGCGGCGGCCGCTGGTTTTCGGACTACGGTTGTATAGAGAGTGGGCGATGATCTGTACCCTGTCTTCAAGGTCTTGCCTTCGGGCGCTCGAGCAGGGTGGGTATCGATGGAAGTCTGACCGGCCTTCATCTTTTTCTTCTTCTTTCTTCACTGTTCTCTCGGGCTTGGCTCGGGGCACGGGGAAGAAATCACAATGGTCACAGTCGCGGCGGAATCTTTGTATATGTCTATTGTGCTATTTCGCAAGCCAAATGGTCTCGCTTGAGTACGGTGTGGTACTGAGCTGCATCCCGTATCGTATCTTCGTCTCGGGCTACATTAGCCCAGATCTCACCAAATACCCCCAATATGTGTGTGTATGCCACTCGAGGCGCTAAAAATAACAAAGGAAATTGCGTGGAACACCTGTGCCTACGCCAAAGCATCGGATACTTCAGAGGGAAGATGCCGTTGTGTTCACGACGGTTGTGTTCATGAACGTCTCAAGAGCCAAAAATGAGACATCGCTCAAGTTGTTGAAGGCCCAGACCAGAAAGGCAGTGACCTCACCAGCTACCAACAAGCCGATGTTCCGGCCGGCAGAGGGCGGGAGTCCATATGAGCCCAGGAGAAGAAAGCCCGCGGGGTACAGGATGTGGGGCCACCAGCTGGCTTTCATTGCATCAACGAGGAGAGAACGATTCAATGACTCTGCCTTTGACGCTGTCTCTTCTAGAGTGTCGAGAACCTCGAGCGTCATGTTTTTCGCTTGGCTGAGCATCAACCTGTGGTGCTCGTGGTTGGTGGATAGCTTTTCGGTGGTGGCAATCAGTCGGCCCATATTCTGCTCGAGGATGTCTTGTCGTTGGACTAGCACTTCGGCATTTTGGTTGGAACGCTCCTGCCCAAAATGTTAGTAAGTTATACTCCGGGGTAAAATGGTTGAACGAAAAGGGAATGAAGTACTACTCACTATTTGCTGCTGTAAGGCATTGGTGGAAATCACGGCCGAAGCAACGATTGCCGCCAAGGCACCGATGTCATCATTGGACCTCTGGGCCATTTGCTGGAGCGATTGCTCATGTGCGGAGACCAGCTGGGTATTGCTCTCCTGGAACCGGGAAAACAAGGCGACGAGGAACTGCTGGAGAACCTCTGCTTGCTGGAGACTGTCCTGCGCTGATTCGGATGATCTTCTCAGTGTCTTCTCAAGGTCCCGCGCGAGGTAGGTCTCGACCCTTTCTAGCCCATGTCTCAACTGATCGACCTGTGGCGAGAGTCGGTCGAGGTTCTCAAATGTCTGCTGAGCTCGCTGGTCAATATCATCCATCTTCTTCTGCAGCTCGGCTTCCACGCCGGTCGTAAGTTTGGAGAGCAATTTGGTGAGCCTTTGGAAGAGCAGAATATTCTGGTCTATTATACTGTTAGTTAAAGTTATACTAAAATCTGACAGCGCAGCCTACCTTTCTCCTTGTCGATACGGGCAGCTTCGCAGAAGCGCAACGTTTTGTGGCGATAGCTTATCCATGTGCCCCAAGCTGAATCAGACGTGCCCAGCGCCGAGAGACAGAGCTTGATCTCTTTATGAGTGACGTGGAGATGGGGAAGTTCATCTTTCATGGCGATCTGGCTCAGCGCAGGTTCCCGAAACTTGGTGCACTCGGTAGGTATCTGGAAGCTGCCTCGTTCCAGGTCGCAGATTGCCATACTGGCGGCGTAGGTGTCGACGAAGTCGCTGATTAGGCGGCCGCTGTCCATGAGAACGGTCGCTTCATTCTTTCCGTCCACAAGCTGGCAGTTGCTGACCAAAAGGCGGGCGGCGACGCGGTGGCAGAGGGGCTCAGATTCGAGCTGTTGGAGCTCATTAAGTGCGACGTCGTAGATGCTTGGGGTAGGGGTGGGCTGGAGAAGTTCCGCGGGCTTGGCATTGACTTCAGGTCTGTATTAGCTAGGGCCGCGAGCGAAGCCATCTCGGTCCTCTACTTGACTTACCGATTGCGATTCTTCTATCGGCTCTCCACGAGAAAGCCTCGGCACAGGGTAGCAAAAGAGCGATCAAGGCCAACAGCATGGCCTGAATCATATTGACGGCCATGGTGGGCTGAAGCAAGGCGGAGCTAGGTGTCTCGAAAGTAGCCTGCAGAGCGATGGTAATAAATAGTAGAGGAGTGAAGAAGACTGGGGAAATATTGGTGCTGTTAATGGCTTGGTCTCGCGGTTTTGAGAGAAAAGTTGTTGCGAGATGGCCGAGGAAGGAGCAGCCTCTGGAAATAAATATGGCAGCCGAGCATGACCCGCTTGAAGAAGAATAGGCCTTCACAATAGTAGACGCGGGACAAAACCGGGTCGCGATGCTCGGCGCTCTTCACCCCTCGGAAGGCGCACCCCGGGCTTCACGCAGGGCGGAGCGGAAGGTGAGGTGACCGGGGGTTTGGGCACTCAGGGTGGACAAAAGCGTGTCTTCAGTTTGTCCAGTCAATTGTCGAGTCAGACGTTGTCTGTATATCTCTCTGATATTGAGCTCCGTATTGCTACCAATGCGACTTCGTCAGGCTACTACACTGCCAAACTACCAAGCTCAGCACTACTCATATCACTCTAAGTTGTTAACTCCATCTTATGAACAGGTTTTGGTGTGACCGGACCCGAAGACATCACTGCAAAACCTGGTCTTGGGCAGACTATGATAAACCAAATTTCAATCTTCAGTCAAAGAGAATATGGAGCACTGGATCGACAAATCCACAATTCGCAGGGCTTTGAGCGTCAGTTGGATTACCTGTAAGCTGATAGAGTGAGTGAGTTGTAGTGGTGTTGAATGTCGCCAGACTCAAAAAGGGGCCAGCTGACTCAGCAGCACAACACTGGCCTAGCACAGGCCATAGCTTGCAGGGGCCCCAATCAGCCGATGCTTCCCCGACCTGATCTTTTTTGAAGCCATTCAAGTCTTGTCCAAGCAATCCACATCTTGCCCGTTGCTGCTGTGAGAGGGCGCGTCGCCAATTGCATTTCCCACCCCCACCAAAATGCTCGCCCCTGCCAGAGGAAGGCTCCTCGAGCGCGCGCTCGCCTCATCGCCCTTTTCCTCGGCCTCCGTCGTCTCGCTCCCGAGCTTCCTCGTGCCTGCGTTCCAGACCTCGACCCCGGCACGGCACTTTTCCGCAACCACCGTCCGCCCGTCGAAGCTGGGCCGCACGCCCATCTCTATCCCTCCTGGTGTCGAGATCACAATTGGCGAGCCCACGGTCAAGAAGGATGCCACAACATACCTCAAGATCGCCAAGAGGACGGTGACGGTAGCGGGCCCTTTGGGTAAGTGGCTCACAATCCAACTCTAGCTGAGCCGAGCTGGCTGGCTTGGTGGGAGGCGGCTTCTGCCGGGGACAGCGTGTTAGGGAGTTGTTCTGATACATGAAGTATAGGAAAACTAAACCTCGAGATCGGCCCATACTTCAAAGTGAACCTTGACCCGACGGCGAGAACCGTTGCTTTGAGTGTTCAGGACATCGAGATCAAGCAGCAGAGGGAGATGTGGGGTACGGAAATGCATTCTTGAACTTACGCGCAAGTCGGGGAACTGACGTGCCAACAGGGACAACATGGTCATACCTGAACCGATACATTAGGGGAGTCTCGGAAGGCCACACGACCGTCCTGCGCCTGGTGGGTATTGGTTACAGAGCGACGATTGATACGCGCCCGAACAAGGAGGAGTACCCTAACCAGCAGTTCATCATCTTGAAGCTGGGCTTCTCGCACACCGTTGAGATGGGAGTTCCCCTTGGCGTCACGGCCAGCGTACCGCAGCCAACGAGGATCCTTCTCGAGGGCATTGACAAGGAGGTGATGCATTCATTTGCTGCCAACATCCGCAAATGGAGAAAGCCGGAGCCGTACAAGGGCAAGGGCATCTTTGTCAATGACGAGACGATCAAGCTGAAGCAAAAGAAGATCAAATAAGATGATCTTAGGGTGCATCGGTGCGGGCTTGTTGCTACTTTTTTTTTGGTACATCTACTCTATCTGGCCACCGCATTTTTTTGGGTTGCATGTGCCATAACCTGTACAATTATTGGGCCTTATACCGAAAGAGGAGGCTCATTCTTTCTGTCCGAGTACTTCTTGCACGGCCGTGAGCACCTGGCCGTGGATGGCTGCGGGCGCTGCCACGACGCCCCTATTGCTAGCCAAAGT